AGATGCAATGTCAATAACTTTACAACCATTAATTTCAAATAAGACATTGAATCCTTTATCGCATAATTAACTAATACTCAAAAGATTATGCTTTAATCCATTCACATATAAAACATTCTTAATTTATATGGAAGATGTATTACCTATTGTACCAATACCTTCAATGTGACCTTTTGAATTGTCTCCAAAAGTCACTTCTCCTCCATTTTTGGCGTTAAGCTCAATGAACCGGCTTTTGTCTCCGGTCATATGTCTTGAGCATCCACTATCAAGGTACCATGAGTTTGAATTTGTTTCCCGTGCCTTGTAGCAATGCTCCTTTCCCTACAAACATAGATTAATTTTTGATTTTTGGTACCCAAATTCTTTTGGGTCCATATTCATTAGTTTCCAAAATCCTAGTCCCCTTAGGTATCCATTTGTGTAGGATATTTTTATCTTTAGTAGTAATGAGTTCTTTAGGAACCCACATACTTCTAATGATTTTTCCATTAGAGGTTCTTTGGGGACCTCTATGATTGTAGTTTCTAAAACTTTTTCTAACAAAGTTGGATTTTGAATTTCCACCTCTTTCAAAATGTTTTGTTCCAACTTTATCAAAAGAAGTTTTAAGATCATCAATTTTCTTTTGATGATCATCATTGATCTTTGAAAGTAAATTTTGCAAATCTAAATTTTTCTTTTCAAACTCTTCTAGTTTGATTTGCAAATCTTTGATTTTACTTTCAAGATCGTTGTTGGTTTTGGATATGAGTTTGTTTTCATTTTTCAATTTTGAAACATCATTTTTATATTTTAAAAACAATTTCTCATAATCCAAAGCCAACCCATTGTACTCCTCAAATAACTCATCATAAGATAAATCATCAAAATCGGATGAGTTAGAGGTTACCTTAGAATCTTCCCCGAATACCATCAAGCACAAGTTTGCTACTTCTTGTTCCTCTTCATCGGAACTTTCTTCATCGCTCTATGTAGCCACATGAGCCTTGTGCTTATTCTTTGATTGACCCTTTTTCTTCAATTGTGGGCAATCATATTTGACATGCCCCGGCTTTTTGCATTCATAGCAAATGATTGGGTCCTTCTCTTTTGGTTCATTTTTGAGGCCTTTGTTTCGTTTGAATTTTCTTCCTTGGTAAGGTCTCATCATTTTTCTGAACCGTTTGGCAAACAATGCCATTTCCTCGTCATCATCATCATTATTAGAATCACTCTCATCTTTTGTGGATTTGAGAGCAACTCCAATATTTTTCTTCTTCTCCTTTTTCTTTGGTGTCTCTTCAACTTTATCAAGGTCCACCTCATCTTCGAGCATCATCTCATGAGTGAGGAGTGAACCGATAAGTTCTTCAAGAGTTAAGGACGATAGGTCCTTAGACTCGATGATTGCCGTCTTCTTTGATTGCCATGATTTTGGGAGGGAGTAGACTAACTTCCTCACAAGCTTTTCATTTAAGATGATCTCTCCATATGATTTGAGACCATTGACAATCGTTGAAAATCTATCCGTCATAGCTTTGATGTCTTCATTTGGTTTCATCCTGAAATTTTCATAGCTATGCGTTAGAATACTAATTTTTGATTTCTTTACCTCATATGTACCTTCATGTGTGACTTGAAGCTTGTCCCATATTTCTTTGGCGGTTGTACACGATGAAACTCTTCTGTATTCATCTGGTCCAAGAGCACAAAAAATAATATGGATGGCTTTGGAGTTGAGCTGGAACATTCTTGTCTCTCATTCACTCCACAACCTTGGATGAGTGATAGGCTTGATGAATCCTTCTTCTACGGCATTCCATGCTCCCATGTCACTTGCTTGAATGAAGTACATCATTCTATTCTTCCAATAGGCGTAATTAGCTCCATTGAAGAAAGGAGGCTTGTTGACGGGCATCGAATCAAGACCGCAGTCGTAATTTGAAGTGGAGGCCATTGATGAATTGGTAATCGATGTAACTCTTCCCGAATCGACTCAAGAGGTGATTAAACCTTCAAATGAGTGAGGCTCTGATACCAATTGTTGAGTTAATCGATCTACAGAATCGACCAAGAGGGGGGTGAATTGGCAATTAAAAATTTCGTGGAAGCTTTTGCATAAAATTTAAAGTAATTGCACAGCGATTTACAGTGGTTCGACTTTCTCAAACAAAGTCTACGTCCACTACCTTAGCTATCCACACTAAGGATTTTCCAACAAATTCACTAATTTGTTCTTTCTTTTGAGGCCAAAGAGATAACCTTACAAAATCCCTCAAGAGTATACCCCAACTCTTGAGAACACTCTTTTTCCCAAAGAGAAGATTACAAATTTGCAAACTTACAAGAAAACCTCACAAGGTAAGATGTTTGCACAATTCTAGAACAAAGAAAAGAACACTCAAGGATAAATACAATTGAGTACAAAAGTTTTCTTGAAAGCAAATGAATATTGGATGAAAAATAGGCTTGAAATACTCAAACTTGAGGTTTGATGCTTTCTCTTTGATTTTCTCTTGATTCTAGTTGATTGATGTTTCTTGTTGTTGATCAATGGCTCCAGAACTTGTTTAAATACCCCTTGAATCAATTCTGAACGTTGGTGATAATTAGTGGGGATAATAGAGCCGTTTAAGTGTGAAAATAATTAATTTTTCTAGGTGGAGCGTCTCATGCATCGATGCATGATCAAGTATGCATCGGTGCATTCGTGTAAAATTCAAATATTTTGACCGTTGGAACACTTGATGCATCGGTGCACCAAGTGTGCATCGATACATGAAACGCATTCGATGTTTGAAAAATAGACTGATGCATCGATGCATGGCTTGTGCATCGATGCATCAAATGCATTCGATGTTTTGAAAATATTCAGAGTGCATCGATGCATGGAGAGTGCATCGGTGCATGGAATGCATTCGATGTTCAATTAATTCATCGATGCATGGACTGATGCATCGGTGCATGCCTTTGAATAATTGATTTAAGGCTTGTTTTTGGTTCAAATTGTGAAAATTGTTTCAAAAATAGTTTAAGTACAAATCACAATTTTACACATTTAGTAAGGATTAAAATTGATCTTGAAAAACTTGGAGTAATAATTTGATATTCGGTTAATTGAATCGAATTTGTAAAATCATTTGTGAAATCTTAAAATTCATTTAACTTAATTTGTTATATCGAAATATCAAAAATGTTTTCAACAATACTCCTACTAAAAAAACACACATTTTGCTTGGAACGATGAACAAGTATTAATAATATCCCTATAGTATCGATACTCCACCAGCAGAAAACACGTTTTCACTCAAAAATCTCTTATTCATCTAACCCAAAGACCTTAGTGAGGTCCCAAACGTTCTTAAAGTCTTGTGTGATTAAAGAGGAGCATAAATAAGGCTCAGAAACATGCTAAAAACATTAAACATAAGATCTACTATGGAAGGCTAATAAACATGCTCATACTCAACTTTCAAGCTAAATTATTTTTAATGATCCTACAACTGGTATGAAAAAGCTAATAGTGTGTTATCTGGATTCTTTGGATGCTAGAACACTTTTTGAATCAACTAGGGATCCATTCTTCCTTTTCCATTTACTTGAACTCTCTCTTCAATCTCTTTAACTAATCAAGGTATAAAAATGGATTACTTACTTAACTAGGTGTTGGATAAAGCTTAGATACACTCCTTACAACTCAAACACTCTTCTAAAATAACTTAAAACACTTGCTTTTTAAAAACCCATAAAAAACCATTTCTAAAAACTTAACCAAAACTATAAATTAATTACTCTAATTGATGCTAAAGGAAAGAAGAATAAGAAAAATTATCTTGGTTTCTTCAATCTAGCTTGAAATCTCACCTTGGTTTGATAACGAGAAAGAAACTGGAGAAGAAAATGGAAGATAAAATGAAAGAGAAGATTTTTGCATGAAATTTTATGAAGAATAGGAAGGTTTATAACCTTAAAATAAGCTTGGGGTAAATTTTTATCTAGGTCCCTCTCATTTCTTATTTAATTAAGAACTATCATTAAACTTAACTCTTAGGCCTACCTTAGGCCCAATACCCTTTATAATTGGTCTAGAATGACTCTATTTAATCTGATGGGCTCTAATATATAGTTTCGTTTTGACCGACACTACTGACCCAGAAATCAAGGCGTTACAGGATCACATTGAAAGAAAAATAATACGAGAGATACATTGATTTTTTTCAAAAAGTATAGGGACCTCTAATGCCTTTTTCCTTTTTAAAGAATGCCTGTTGTAATAAACCCGTAATTAAGTGACCTTGTGAGTAGTTTACCCTTATTTATTTTGTTTTCTAACAATTAAAGAACAAACATCTTTACGAAGCAAACAACAGGATACAGGCACGGCTAACCATTGCTGGATTTAAATTAGTCTGGTTCGGATTTGGCCTCCGCCTGCTAGCTGTTGTTTTCACAGTAGCTTCTTTGATAATCTTTTTAATCCTGAAAATCACTTTTACTTGAGGTTCATCAACTGTTCAGAAGGGTAAGTATGCAACACAAGGAAGATGTTCGATGATATGCTTCAAAGAGCGTATTCGTTCATTTTATTTCTCGTATATTGTGATCTTCGAGATAATTTTATTTTGGTATATTTTTGAATGTTTGAAATTTCTTTTACGACAATTAGGTTAATCCTTTGATTGTTTTTTCTCTGCTAAAAATTGTGCCTTTTGCCTGTTTTTGGTTATATTACACGGCTTGGTTTTTGAAGCTTTCTTTTTTTGAAGGAATGGAACATGAAGACGATATGAAATTAAAAGGAGACACAAAGGAAAAGATGTTCCAAATTTATACAGAATTTTTGACAGGGTAATCAAAACACAAAAATGTTGGTTGTTAACTTACTCCAGTGCTTCTATGCATCGGTTTCGATGTGTCATTCCTTAATTGCTTTAGGAAATTGTATGTCTGCACATTAGAGAAAGGGGTTGGATTTGCAACTTTAAGATGCAACTCCATTTTCAATAGAAATCAAAGTGATGAAGCCTATGGTTTTTACCGAATTCCGAAATTATTGTTTGGGACATTGCAGGGTGGCAAAGCTTGATGAACTGGTGGCCGTTGGAGGCAGACTACTTACCGGCTTTCAGCAAGGACTAGGTCAGCACCTTTTGAAAATCCGCACTATATTTTTTATCCATTGCAATCAATAGGATGGTTTCCTTGGTGATAGTATTTTCTCGATTCTCTTTCAGAGTTTCTCCGGCGCCCTGCAATTAACAAGGCGTCCAAGTTGATTGAGAACATTATTAAAGCCAATGAAACAAACAGGTTAAAGTCATACCTTGAAGCTGGTTGCATTAACAATCATGACCGTGTACATAATACGAGCAAGTGTAAGTACTTTCATTCTTCATAGATAAAGCATTATCCGGTTGATAAATGGAAACAGTCACTTGTCTTCTTCTGTTCTATACTGATTTCTGCTATAATCGGATAATCTCTTGATTATGTAGTATAATTTACCTTTTAAAACCCTCCTAATTCTCCTTATTTTATATCACTTTTTTACTTGCATGTTGATCTTTCGTATCGGTAGTATACACATGCCTACATGGACTACATGATCATTTTATTAAAGGTAATGTTCTATTTGCAACCTTATTGCCTTTGTCTACTTTTATCCAGTAAATATGTTGTGTAAGGATCAATAAGTGTTTGCAAACTTATGGTGTGCAGTCGAATCCTTGCTGAATGATCTCGAATGCTTCTTGAGGGATGCCACAGCTGCGCTGCAAATGGCAAATCAACAGTTATCTCCTTTGTTGTACGCGGAATCTAGTGTCGGACTACATCCACATGAAAGTGACGGTGAAGTAGGTGTTTACGCTTCAACTCTTTCTGTTTATTGGAAGTTGACTATCTTGCTGAATGATCCAATTGTTTTCCCCTTTAGGATGAAATGGTTTCATCTTGTCTCCTAGAACCCGAAGTGACAGATTATGCCGTCTTGATGGGGATTGTATATAGTATGGTGAAGCAGGATTGTACAATGCAGGTACTGCTTGTAACTAGTATCATATTTCCGATACGGAGCGAAACTCCATCAATCATCGAATATGAGTTCCGAAACAATTTCTATTTCTCTTTCGTTGTTTCCCCCCTCTAGAACAGTGACAAAACACCGCCTTTCCATTGCAGGGTAAGATTGTTAAATCTCTAAATCTCAAGACAACATCCGAAGAACTAGAGAGCTATTCACTGATGTGGACGTTGCGACCTTACATCAACAATCAAACCATGCAGCTAGCTTGGAAGATTGTTCCCTGAAACGTGTATGTGTTTATAAGAACCCAAAACTTGTTTTGTCCGGAATATTCAGTTTTTGCCTTGTTCCATTTAATACAGTTTTGGAATGGTTGTGAACTTGAATGAAAGCACAAGGGAGGCCATTTACCCCTTCAAGCCAAGACAGATATGGAACCCTGCAAATGACATAGTTTCGAATCAAAATAATTCAAAAATATCATTGTTGAAACCTCACATTGGGTTATTCCTACATGGTTGAAAAATCCAGCTTGTTCGAATCGTTTTGTTGAGACTTTTCTCATAAATAATTCTAAGGGAGTTGAACGTTAAGATATACTCTTAAATTCCACATACAATACAACACTCATGCATGCTAGCCCTAGGCACTGACTATTTCGAAGACGCTGCAATGTGATTATTCAGTCATCTTACAACAAGAAAATAGGCTGAGCGGATGACAAAACAATCTCCCACATAGCCACAACCACATATTATCTAAAGAAATACAAAGGTCAGCTTTTAACAAACAACTTACGGGTTACTAGATTATATTGAAGAAACAAAAAAGCCAAGTATCATTATGTTAAACATTGCAAAGTGAATGGTTTATTGGTATATAAGTTAACAATTTGAAATGAAATCTAGAGTGACAGCACTTGTAATATAATTTCAAATTTAAGAACTGCAGCTAGAAAAATAGTGCAATTTCTTTGAATCATTTATGAATTATTACAAGAGAAACACTTGCACTAACCAGTTGCACTTTGCATCCAGAATCGCAAGGCATATAAAGCCTATATTCAACAAGGGAAAAAGAAAACGAGGAAAAGTTTCTTTGACAGGATAAAAAACAAACAAACAAACAAACGAACAGTCCAAAATCATCTTGTCCATAACCTGAACCAGTTTTATGATCACAGTTTCTCGGTGCATCAAATGTCTTATATATGATTTTAGGCCAAAAGCATTAATCATCATCATCTGCAGTTGAAAAAAAAAGGAAGTAAATTTTTGGTCGAACCAATGGTATAAAAACAGATAAGATACACAACTTTAATCTTAAGCTTGATGAAGAGCAAGGTTTTAAATGTTACTACCATGGTTGATCAGCTAACATAAAGATAATAAAGAAACAAAAACATCCGGTTCCAACTCAGCATTCGCAAAAGATGGTCAGTTTGGATTGGGATAAAGTAACAATTTTAGACAACTCCTCCATTTAGGACTTATAATACATATACAACAGTGAAATAATTTCGAGAAAAAGAGGGAGGCTGTAACATTGCAAGCAAAGACAAAGCTGCATGAATTGGAGCATTCTGAAATAAAAAGACTAATAGTATAAATCAGGGACGAACTTATAAAACTTTAGAGTGGGCAAACTAATAAAATTTTAGGAGGCAAAAACATATTATCAATAGAAAATACAAAGAAAAAATCTAAATTATATAAGAATTTGAAATTTTCAGGGGCAGCTGCCTCGGTCCATCCCTGATATAAATGGATGCTAATAAAATTGATTGCAGATGACACTAGTAGTTTTGGTTTCAGGTAAATTGATAAAATTTATGGGTTGATTTTAGGAAATAGGGTCATCGACCAAAGTAGCGGCGCTCGTTGGCTGCCTTGGCCTTTTCGAGCATTTGGTCAAGGTCCCGTTGGAGCTGAGCGTCCCAAATCACTAGCTGGTTAACGAACACTGCTCCCAGGCCCATCCCCAACAGGTGCTCCCACGGATCTGCATTTCGAGTTTTCGATTTCGAATTCAAATTTCCTAGTCTAGGGTTTGAAATTAGGAACGAGATGAAACGCATAAATAAATAGAAAAAAAAGGAAAGGAAATGAATCGCACGTCGCATGTAAGGGAGCTTGCGGAGAGCGTTGGAGTACATTTGGGTGCCGAGTCCCAGCAGTGCTCCGATCACCGTTGCGCTCACTGCCATCTCTTCCTCTTCTTCACCTTTAGGCTCTACCTTCGCCTCCCTCTTCTTTTCTTTTCTCGAATTGCTGATTACCAAATCTTTTCCTCGGTCATGTTTACTTAATTAATAGTAGAGGCATAAAACAAAATAGGATAAACTATCGAAATGATCACTTCTATTTCATAAGTGTTCATTTTAATCAAACAAATATAAAAAGTAAAGTTTTAATTACTTATATTATATAAGACGATAAGTCGTTCCTTTGATATGTTAGTAAAATAAATTAATTTTTTAATTTTAGATCAAAAATATTAATTTGACTCTTGAACTTAGATAAAATTTTAATTTTACACTTAAATTTTAAATAAAATATAAATTTAATCTTAATCAAAGTTTCCTACCATCGATCATCTCCCATCGTTATCGACTTGACCACCTTCGCTAACGACCGTTGAACCTTTAAACTTTTAAAATTAAACGAACAACTTAAAAGTTAAGATTTTAGAATTATGTATACATGTTATGACTCCTTTCTTTCTTCATAAATTTGTTATATTGTATAATTACAGAGAAATCCTCTTAATTCATTTCATTTTATTCACAATACTAAAATTTAAATTATGTATATTATGGAAAAAAAATTAGCATCGTATCTCATTAAATCAACCGATAATTTATGTCTTTATTCTAAATATATATATATATATATATATATATATATATATATTCTTTTTTTAAAAATTAAATGTAAAAGTTATCGAAGTTTATCTATACCAATATAATTGTTCAAATAGATATTTATTTTCATATCAATATAACTGTGAAGACTCGAAAGTTTTCATATGAAATGTTGTATAAATAAAATCCTTTCATAGAATAAGTCAACGTTGCCAGATTCAGATCAGCAAAAAGTCAACAATTCAAAAAGCTTCGATTGATTATATATTTTTTTAAAAGAGAAAATCGCCTCAGTGACCAAAAAAAAAGTTATAATATACGATTTTAATCAACTTTTTTTGGATTTGCCAAAATGACCAACAAAATCGCAACGCGAAATAAAAATCGCAACGCGATCCCCAGAATCGCAAATCAGTTTCCAAAATCGCAACGCGAATATGAAAATCGCAACGCGAACACATAAATCGCAACGCGTATCCGTAAATCGCAACGTGTATCCGTATATCGCAACGCGTATCCGTAAATCGCAATGCGTATCCGTATATCGCAACGCGTATCCGTAAATCGCAACGATAATACGTAAATCGCAACGAGAATCTGTAAATCGCAACGATAATCCGTAAATCGCAACGAGAATCTGTAAATCACAACACTGAAATTTTGGGTATATAACACTGAAATCATAAACTAAATCCCTAAATCGCAACTCATTCCATCTCCATCTATCACTCTCTCCGGCGACATCCGTTCCTATATCCAACGACATCCTTCCCAATCCGGTAACAGGTTTTAGTTTCGCAGCTCGTCTGTTTAGTAAATTAATTTACAACCATGAAATCATCTAATGTTGATCATGTTTGGATAGATTTGTGTTTTGGAGGGTCATGGGATAATGTTCATGGTGTTTTACAATATATGCCTTTACCCATGAATCTTCAACTAAAATTGTCTTTACAAAAGTTAACTTATGAAACTCTAATGCTACGTGTTTCAAATAAATTGAATTTAGAGCCCCTAAGTGGATTTAGGCTATCTTATCAGAGAAATGGTAAAGTTTATTTGTTAACCGACAATGAAGATGTTGAACGATTCATTGCTTACATTAGTGTTTCACAAGATGATGTTACATTGTATGTTGTTGAACCTAGAAGTAGTATTGTTGGGTCAGTAGCGGGTAGTAATCAACTAAGTTTTTCTCAAAACCCACAACCTTTCTCTAATCCAAATCTCAATCAACTTTCAGCACCAAATTCCGGTTTTCGTATTGACCAGTTAGACGATGATGAGCCAACAGAAAAAATTGTGAGTACTAGTCAGTATTCGAAATTTGGTCTTGGTCAATATCCGGACTTTGATATTGGTCAATACACGGATTTTGATGATGTTTCAGAAGAAGAAACAGACCCTGCGTGTAATGATTTTGATATTGGTCAATACCCGAATTTTGATGATGAAACAGCCGTTGCCGAAGAATGTATTGTTGATGATAATGAGGAGGAAGTTACGACTGTGAATGAACATGTTGAACATCCATTCTGTAATTCATATAATCCTGAAGAAGAAAAAGAAGAAGAAAAAATCCCCGAAGAAAAGAAAATGCCACGGGCGTATAACTGGAATATGCCAGAATTACTTCAGATACCGGAAGAAGAGTTGGTAAAGAAAGCAGTTGATTGTTACACAAAGTTATTCGTATCAAGAAAGATGATTGTTTTGATACAAAGGAAGACTTGAAGATAGCTTTGTATACGAAATGTGTGGAAGATGGCTATCAACTAAAAGTTAACAAATCAAGCAAAGATCGTTTTGAAACAAGGTGTATGATTGACAAAAACTGTATGTGGCGAATGATTGCAAATAGAATAAAAGATTGCGAAATGTTTCAAGTTAGGACTTTTATTGATAAACATACATGTTCAAGAACCCAAGTTTTTCCTCACCATAGACAGGCAAACAAAAAGGTGTTGGGTGGTTTTCTGGCTGAGTTAATGTTTTTGAATGGCAGGGTATATCGGGGACATGAAATTATGACTGACATGAATGCTCGGTTCAAGATTAGTATATCATATTCTCAAGCTTGGAGAGCCAAATGTTATGCCTTAGAATTGTTGAGGGGGTCGCCAGAAGCATCGTTTGCCCAACTGCCGGCTTATTGTCACAATTTAAAGCTGAAAAATCCTGGGTCGGTAACTCATATCAAAACAGATAGAGATGGACGCTTTGAGTTGCTGTTTATCGCCATTGGTGCTACGGTTAGTAAATCAATATAATTTTGTTGACTCATTTTTGTTAGTTACATGCATTTCACATTTAAATGATTATATTTCTTGTGTATATTATTTTGTAGATTCGTTCGTTTATTACTTGCATGCGCCCAGTTATTATAGTTGACGGAGCACATTTGAAAGTCGATACCTTGGAGTAAACTTATTAGCAGTAGCCATGGATGCTAACAATGGGATATTGCCAATAGCTTACGGGGTTGGCAAATCTGAAACCTCTGATTCATGGACATGGTTTATGGGGCATCTTAGGGATTGCATAGGTCCTATTAGCAATCTGACAATCATATCCGATAGGGCAAACTCAATTGACAACGCTGTTAGAAGGTGTTTCCCAAATGCTTTTCATGGACTTTGTGGTGTTCATTTGTATAGAAATCTAAAATCAAGGTCTGCTGGTATAAAAAAGCACAAATGGACATACTGGAAGGCTGTAAAAGCTTATCGGGAAGTGGATTTCAATAAGCATATAAATTGTTTAAGACGTGTTTTGCCTCAGTGTGCTCAAACACTAGAAGATGTCGGGTTTGAAAGATGGTCAAGAGTACATCAACTTGGAGCAAGATATGGTTTCATGACGTCTAATAGTGCAGAATCAATCAACGCTCTAAGTCGTCATTCCCGGAAATTACCCATTACTATGTTAATGGAGTTTTTTCGAGCCTCTATTCAACAGTGGTACTACAAGAAAAGAAACCATGCAGGTATTATTTCTTTGAATTCGTAACTTATCATATTTATATATTTTACTAAGTATTGTTTATTTAAATTTACAGGAACATTGGAACATCGTGTTACACCATGGACTGAAAAAAAGATAACGAAAAGTGTTGTGAAGTCAACGTCATGGAGAGTTGAACCATGTTCAAACACTTTGTTTCAAGTACTGGATAATAACTTAAATGGGCTAGTCGATCTAAATGCAAAGACGTGTAGTTGTATGAAATGGCAAACATCTGGTTATCCGTGTGGCCATGTTATAAAAGTTGCTCTTCATTTAAACCAAGATTATTCAAGCGCATACGCTATGGATTGCTACACTACAGAAGTTTATCGACAGACTTATGCCGAGATTGTCTACCCTATTCCACATCCTTCTGAGTGGGACATACCAGATGACTTACAAACAGTTTTGCCACCAGCCATGGACAGAAGGCTACCTGGCCGACCAAAAAGTCACGATCGTATACCGTCTAAGGGTGAAGAGAAGAAGAGATCGACATGTAGTCGGTGCAAGGAAAGTGGTCATACAAGGTTGACATGTGGATCACCAGTGCCATCAAAATCATCTTTTCCTCTACCAAAATATGGATCCTCATCAAAATCCAAAGCTCATATGGTGTCAAGCAAAAGGCAATCATCTTTAAAATCCCAATCACAATTGGCTTCACCTTTTGGGACTGTTAACTTAGGTGATTTTTAAATGCAAACGTTGTATTATGTGGATTTTATGTGTGAACTTTTAACATTTTCAGTTGAATTAATGACTCAGGCCAACCATTTTGACTTAACCAACTCTTGTTATTCAGTTGTTATCACTATTAGGCATGCATTTGACTATCGCAACACGGAAATTACAATCGCAACGAGAGAATCGCAATGCGAAATGAAAATCCCAACATGAAAATCGCAATGCGGAAATGAAAATCGCAACGGGAGAATCGCAATGCGAAATGAAAATCGCAATGCGAAATGAAAATCGCAACGAGAGAATCGCAATGCGAAATGAAAATCGCAATGCGAAATGAAAATCGCAACGAGAGAATCGCAATGCGAAATTAAAATCGCATTGCGATTCTCCCGTTGCGATTTTCATTTCCGCATTGCGATTTTCATTTCGCATTGCGATTATCTCGTTGCGATTTTCATTTCGCATTGCGATTTTCATTTCGCATTGCGATAGTCAATTTTGCCTTCAACATAATGCAGATTGAAATCAACAAAATCAACCATTACATTTCAATCAATTAAACAAGCACAAATAAGAATTATATTCGCATCAATTACACAAATCAACTTTTACAAATCATCTTTTACAAATCAATTAAACAATCAAAAAATAAGCAATAATTCTTATTTCCGATCATCTACTATTGAATCAACTTTTACAAATCAAT